GGCCAGACGGTCGATATTGTTAAGCATGAACTGGACGAGGATGGCGTCGCCAACGGCACCGAGGTTGACTACGAGGAGGTTTGCCTCTACGAAGAGGCCAGCGGTCCGCACTGTGAACTGGGCGTCGATGGCAGCAGCGATGTCACCGACAGCAAGGGCTTCCATTACATTGATGCCGATGGCTTTTGCATTGAGGACATCGAACCGGAGCCCGAGCAGCGCAACACCGTTGCCGTGCCGCTGCGTGCCACCCATCATGCCCAGCATCCGCATGCGCAGCATGCAACGCATCATTTCGCCAGCGCATCGACCGTCAGCAGCGCCACGGCCAGCAACAGCGTGCTCTCGGGCAATGGCAGCGTCATCACAGCAGACGCCAAGCTGAAGAATCTCACGCTGGTCACGACAACGGCGTCGGCGAGCAGCCAACGCTGCCAGGATCCAGCTGCCAGCCAACAGCAAATAGCGCTCGTCGATGTGACCGAGGCGACCAGCACAAGTGTCACCATCTCGAGCACGCCGGCGGTTGCCTTGAATGCGGCAACGGTTAGCACCACGCTGCCAGCGGCGGCAGCGGTGCCGGCGGCAGCAACAGCCACACTGTGCAATACATCCACAAATACGCCGTACAATAGCGCTGCGACGGCGACAACTATTTTACAGCTTCCTGCATTGAGTTGCGGCGGCGGGAATGGAAACGGAAATGGAAATGGGGGCGCCTCCTCCATCAGCGTCGCGTCGAGCAGCACGCTGATCAAGGACGACGAACAGCAGCAGTTGGCGCAGGCGCTGATCAAGCGCGATGAGCTTGATTTGTTTTTTGATTTTCTCAAAAAGAAAATGCAATATTTTAGCAAGACACAAATCACACACATCCAAATGGAGTTTCTCAATTGTGTCAGCAGGCAGGAGGTGGCCGATCAGGATGCCAAGGATTAGCTGCCCAATTCTTTTACTTCAATCTAATGTCGATTTGTAGCAACAACAACAACAACAACAACAACAACAACAAAAATGGAATACAGAAAAAAAAGATAGCTGCACCTGAACCCGACCCCGACCCCGAACCCTGCCCAGTTCTTCTCTTTCCTTTTTGTAAGTGTTTGTCTGTAGCTTTAGCCTCGCTTTAACCTGCATTCATATGGTATATGTATATATATATATATAAATATATGTATTCCTATGTGCGTGTATAACTGTATATCCGTATGCTATGTTTTAACGTAAACCCCACAACAGTAAAAATTACACAAAAAAATATTAAAAAAAAACACAAAAACCTAAACATAAACAATTAGCATGTACGGCCTTCAAGTGTAATGAATATAATTGTAAAATAAACTAATCAATTCTCGAAACAAACTGTTCAAATTGTAAACAAAAAACAAATAACAAACAACAACAACAACAACAACAACAACAAGGAAAAAGTCGCGATATTCATTTACCTCTTCCAACCCGATCCAATTGCACGCGTGCGAGCCAAGCGGCAGCATCTCTTCTTCTCGCTCTCTCTCTCTCAAAAGCCGTTTACGTCGTCGCCTAACAGCGCGCACATCTGTTAATAACAGCGCGTCACTGTAGCATAACATAAACATAACATGCAACTTTATGTTATGAAACAAAGGGGATTTTGTGACTTTAAAGTAAATATATATATACCTGATCAGCTTGAACAAACGTAGTTATGAACACGTATATATATAGGTATTATCATGATCATGATTTAGCAGAGAAAAACCTTTATCCTTTTCAAGATATCCCCAAAAAAAACTGCACATTAAAGAGTTTTTTTTGTCACTGGTTTACTTTTTCATATAGATTTATAGAGAGAATCTCTTCAAATCTTCATTAACTAAACATTGACAAAAGGCATATAAAATTTGAACTACAAATAACTTTCAATACCAACAGTTTTTCTTTTAATTAAAGCCCGATAGATTTTGAGAAATTCAATCTTTTAACTGTTTAAAAGGCAAAATAAAATATTTTCATTCAGTTTGCCGATGAAAATTACAAATTTAACATAATTTTTGATTGTGTTTTGAGCTGCATTCAAAATTTGACTTATGCTAAAAATATCACTTGGTCAATTTGCAAGTTTTCTGTTTTGAGACTAGTTTTTTTTTTCTTTTCTTTTTTTTTTTTAGATTATCTTTGATATTTATTTGCGTTTAGCCTGCGATTGGCTCTCGTCCCGGCACAGGATAAGCAGTTAACAACAACAACAGCAACAACAACAACAATCGAGGCTTGGATGTGGTTGTGGGCTCTGAGAATTGTATAAATTTGTAAACAAAACTTAAACGAAACAACTTAGGCTAGACTTTAGCGCTGGCCAATAAATACACAGACACATACGCATGCATAACTCTATGTAAATATATATATATGTACACATATATCTATATAGATCGCATTATGTGCCGGTTGTCTGAAGGCTGGGTTCAGGTTCATGTTCGTATGTGGACTGACTCGAATAGGCCTGATTTAGACGCAGATCACGCTGCCGGCGGCTGCGTCGTCTGCGGCGGCTTGGGCAGCGTTTCGCCCTTGAGCCGCGCTATGAACTCCGAGTTGAAGTAGATGACGGTGATGGTGATATCGTCGCGGTACAGGCGCACCACGTCCTGCGGCAGCGACAAATAATACGAGATCTTCGAGTGCTCAATGCCATAGTCTGTGGCGCCCAGAGCATGGCGTATCAGATGCGTGGCCGCGTTCTGATCGATCGGCTTGCGTGTGAGACCAGCTCTGTGCAAAAAAAAAAAAAAAAAGATGCCCACAGACGCATTAAAACGGATTTGCCGTTGCGGTAAACGCATTTACTTACTTGCGCTCGGCTAGCCGCTCGGAGATCTGCTGCAGCGTTACATTGCCGGGCGGCAGGCGCATCGGTTCCATTGTTTTTTTCGAGTTAATGTGCTCGCCCACAAGGCTGACAACCTCGCTGGGCGTTAGGAAATCCCAGAGGCCGTCGCTGGCAATGACTAGAAACTTATCGTTCGCGCACAGCTCGTGCTGCTGCACATCCGGCCGGGCGGTCAGGTACGGTGGCGTATAATAATTTGGCGGCAACACCTGCTCCCCGAACATGGGCACCACCTTCTGCTGCAGCGTCTCCACGGGCCATTTGTAGCGATAGTCGCCGAAGGCACGCAACGGCGCCAGCTGGCTGAGCAGCCGGCCATTACGTATTACAGTTTCGCGCTCCTCGCGCGGATGTTCGCCGAGTATGCGGCTCACCTCTTGCATGTTCTCCACATTGTGCTCGATGTTCAGCTTTTTGGGATGCCATTGATTCGTCTGCGGATCCAGCACGCCCAGCACGGCGCCACAGTCCCCAGTGCTGGCCACATGCAGCTGCAGCCCCTCCAAGTGCACCAGGCAGGCAACGGCGCCTGTCAGCAGAAAGAACAAAAAAAAAAAAAAAAACAGCTGAATTTAGAGCGTGTCGAGTTGGGCAGGCGTTTAAATTTAACTGGCGGTTAAATATTTTGCTTATCCCAATGTCAATTCAATTAACTGCCAGTTAAATGCGTGATGGCAACGCTAAATGACATTTTGCCAGGCTCCACTTTAACGTGCGGATTAACTTTAACTGGAGACTTGCGATCAATCGTTTGTTGGTGTTGCCAGATTGTTTCAAATAAATAAATTCCAACTAGGAAAATGAAATGCTTTCTAGAAGCTGTAGCTCACCTGATAGCGCCACGCCCATGGTGCGCGCATCATTGTTGTCCAACGCCTCCTGGGCCAAATCCTCATCCAGCTGAAGAAAGGCGTGCTCCAGCTCGCTGGCCACATCCCGTTGCGGCACCTCGGCCAAACGCTTGATATACTGCTGAAAGCTGCGCTCATAGATGGGCCGTATCTCGCTGACAAAGTCGACCTTGTCGTTGTGGCACTTGAGAAAGGACTGGCTGTCGCAGCCCTGTTTCAGCTGCTGCTTGAGCACCTGGCGCGGCAGCGTGCCGGCCGATATGTAGCGCAGCAGGCGTTTGGAGACCACCTGGCCGCAGGCGGCGCCCGCATGCCCATCGAAGACGCCGCATATGAAGCCGTTGCGGAACATGAGGCTGGCCTCGGTGCGTGAATCCTCGCAGGGTGAATTGGAGCCGAGCTGATTTGTTTCATAGCTGCGTATGATGCCGTCCAGCGGGAAATTGTAAACAAACTCGTTCTCCTTCAGCGCAATATTCACCTGCAACAATAACAACAACAACAACAAGAAGAACAACAACAGTTAGCTGGATCGATACCCGCGCAGATGCATCGATACTTACATCGTAGGGACTCAGTTGGGGCAGTTGGGGCAGCAGCCGCAGGGCATTGAGACTGAAATCACGCACATTGCTGCGCACATAGCCAACGGCGTCGTGCAGCGCAAACCTTAACATCTATATATATATAGATATATATATGTGTGTGTGTGTATGCGAGTTATTTAGCGGCAGCGCCACAAAATCTTGCGTCTTTTTAATAATTTTCGGCGCACACGCTGGGCTCGTTTGCCTGGCGAATGGACGTTAACAGTTATGCAGTTAACAGTTAACGTTTGGCAATTATTCGTGCGCCGTTGCGCGTCTGTTGTTGATTGTGTATGCGCCTAACTTGTTTGTTGTTGTTGTTCTCTGTCTGTTATTGTACATTTGTGCAGTGCAAAAGTGAAAACAATATAAAAATAAAGCCGAAATAAAACGAACTAATGTCAAATGTGACAGTTAGTGATGACAATTGAATAACGAAACATGCATATTTGAATATCGATACTATCAATAATAATGCAAGTCGACTGTTATAAATGGCTAAATATTTGTGGACAGCGGCGCAAAGGTGAGTAGCTCAAAATGCGTGTAAAGTGCTTGGTTTCATGCATATTCCTTAATATGTATGTTAAAACGATGCCAAATTTAAATTGGTAGCGTTGCCACTCACTACTTGAGTACTTGCATATGCATTGTACTCGTTTGCCAGCCCTGAAGCCAGCCCACACACACACACATACAAAAATTGACGTGCGTTAGAAAAAAAAAACAAACACAACTGAGCAGCTGAGTTACTTTAAATTCAATAAACAAAACGGCTGCAGTTTATTTATACTTTGCTCTTCGCTCAGATTGTGAAAAATCAAATCAGCAGCACCTTGTCGCAAATAATCGAGTGTGCTTTTTGAAAGACAGAAGCGCGTTTAACGAGAACAAAAAAGGACTCGAAGCGAATTTGCGTATTAACGCAAAATAACAACAAACGAGAACGGGGCAAAGGGGCCACGCTCTGAAGCTCTTGGAGAGGGGACGAAGGAGCACTACAACAACAACAACAACAACAACAACATACACACACACACAATGGTTGAGCCTATTTTTGATTATCAATTTCGCTTAATACTCATCGGCGACAGCACCGTGGGCAAAAGTTCGCTGCTGAAATTCTTTACAGATGGAAAATTTGCGGAGGTATGCGTTTAATTGTAATCTGAATATGTGTATCAATAGTGCGCAATAATAACAATTACATAATTAAGTGGCTAAAATGGCGAAAAATGATTAATAAAGACAAAGTGTCTGTTGCAGCCGCAGCCTCTCTAAGTGTGTGTGCGTGTGAGTAAGGCTGTGTCGTGTGTGTGTGTGCGTGTGTGTGTGTTTTCTTACTGATAATGCAAGCGCAGCAGCAGCAGCAGCAACAACAACAACGACGACGACAGAAAGTGTGGCAACCTTGGACTGCGCGCGCATATTTTTGAATTTGTGCTAAAAAGCCTTTTCTTGTCGATGATCTACATTCTTTTGATTTCATTTGTTTTGTCTTGTTGATAAACACGATTTTGATTAATATTTGCATTTTTGCAGCTATCTGATCCCACAGTGGGCGTTGACTTTTTCGCCCGCCTCATCGAAATGAAGGACGGCAAACAGATCAAACTGCAGCTGTGGGACACGGCCGGACAGGAGCGTTTCCGTTCAATAACAAAGTCCTACTATCGCAATTCGGTTGGCGTGCTGCTCGTCTATGATATATCGAATCATGCCAGCTTCGAGCATATACCCCTCTGGATGATGGAGGCGCAGCGTCACATCGAGCCGCATCGGCCGGTGTTCGCATTGGTCGGCTGTAAGCTGGATCTGGTGAATGCGGGCGGGCATCGTGAGGTGTCCACCGAGGAGGCGCAAACATTTGCCAAACAGCATGGCCTGCATTTTGTGGAGACATCGGCGCGCACCGGCGCCAACGTTGAGGAGGCTTTCCGCATGGTCACACAGGAGGTCTATGCCCGTATACGTTCCGGCGAATACAAGGCCGAGGATGGCTGGGATGGCATCAAGTCGGGCTTTGCGCGGCCCAATAGTCTGGACTTTAATCTGGTTATGGCTGAGCCCGAGAAATCCTCCTGCTGTTGATTAAATTAAACCGAATGCGAGTGTTTAATTTGATTTGTTTTGTTTCCAATTTTCCAGACATATACATTATATGTGTATATACATATATTTTTTATTTAATTTTTTTTTTTTTTTTTTTTTTGTAATCGGAATTTTAATTGATCGTGCACCAAGTTGATCTTTGACCTCATATAAAGTGCATTGATTGGCGATTTGTAACATTTTTTTGTTGACTCGTTTTTAATAACGCACCAAAAATAACTAAAGTAATAGAAATCAAAATAAGGAAGTGCAAGCGTATTGCGGTTACTTTTAGTTTCGTTCTTAAGTTAATCCAAATATTGCATCGTTGACGATGACCATTCGGCCGATTAGATGACTCATTTAAGTACAATATGTTATTTGCCTTTAATTCGAAACCAAACAAATTCTTACCGAAAGCGAAATAACAGCCAAGCGTCATTCACAAAACTCTTTTTCTGATTAAAAACTTTTTCAGCTTTATACGTAGCAGAGATTTGTGCTCTACTAATTAACTTATACAAGAAATACTTATATATATAGATATATATATATATATAGATATACATATATAAAAAGCAAGGTTGCATATACTTGAACTTGAAATATAAACGTTTTTATTGATTAATCAGCTCTTTTATTTATTAATAACTTTTGAATACGGCAAACATTTTAAAGTTGCCGCCCAATTGCGCGCAGTCTGGCAACGCGCTTGCCCTGACCAGCTGTATTACAGTGGCAGCTCAGCTGTTAATGCCTGGGTATCGAGTACTTTTTGGTTCGGTAGTTGCTTTAGCAATTTTTATGCACAATTTGCATTATTTTTTTAAAATATTGAATTAATTATAAGTTTATAAACACTCAACCAATAAGTGCTACAGAAATTTGATATTCAAAAACAACGTTGGCCTTGTGGCAAGTGCTAAATATCGATGCCAGTTCAGCTATCGATATACATATTACTATCGAGTTTGCTGTCAAAAAAGCAGTCTTTTTTTTTTGTAGAGTGTCTAACACACAGATACTCCAGATTAGCGCGTGCCACTTTTAATTTCGACGGCCACACACAAAAAAAAAAAAATATCACACACACAATAAACTTGTACTGACAAAATAACCAATATGGGTAACGTGCTAGCGGCATCATCCGGCCTCGATACAACGGCGGCGCGCAGCAACAGTGTGGCTGCCAGCCTGGGTTTGCCGGAACCAGCCGCAATTCCAACAGAGCCCACACCATCGGCAACGATTGCCGCCGATGCCAGCGTTGCGGCCAAGGACCATCAATTGGAAAATCCCGGCACCGTTGAGGAGTTGCATAAAAAATGCAAAGGTATGCAATGTCATTCAGTAAATTCAATACACAATTGCAAATGTTTCGCACTGATGACATAACCTACAACCATGTGAATGGGGCGGGGGGGGGGGGGGGGGGGGGGGGCTGCGCTCGTACAGCGAGCCCCCGTACGTGTGCTTGTGAGTGCGTGCGCCTGTATGCGTGTGTGCGTGCGTGTGCGTTGGGTTCTGATTATGTATTATCAGTGCATATACAGTGAAAGCTCCCATAACCGGACGCGCACACCTTTGCGTTGGTCTGATAGCTGTCCGCTTATGAGAGAGACATGCATTCCTTAACATTACAAACAGTTTCTTTGAGTCGCACAAATAGTAAACAATTAGGTAAAAGTGTATAATTATCAATTACAATTTCATAATATTGCAATAATATATGACAAGCTGACATCCAGGCAGTAAGCCGGTTCGAACCGTTATCTGTATCTGCCGCTTGTTTCCATATGGATGGGACAATTGTGATTCTTCACTAATCGACTGCCCCCTCCCTACTTTATTCCCGAGCAGATGTGCAGGCCATCACGTTCGAGGGCGCCAAGATCATGCTGAACAAGGGGCTGAGCAATCATTTTCAGGTATCGCACACGATCAACATGAGCACCACAGTGCCCAGTGGTTATCGCTTTGGTGCCACCTACGTGGGCACCAAACAGTACAGCCCCACCGAGGCGTTTCCCGTGCTGCTGGGCGACATTGATCCATCGGGCAATCTGAATGCGAATGTTATACATCAGTTCTCGTCGCGTTTACGCTGCAAATTCGCCTCCCAGGTATGTGGCATGTGCAACATATGCAACGACTTTTCATTTTGCATTTGCTAATTGTTTCTCTTACAGATTCAGGAGTCCAAAATGATGGCCACACAGCTGAGCACAGACTATCGGGGCAATGATTTTACCGCCTCGATAACGCTGGGCAATCCCAGCATATTTACCAATTCCGGCGTTGTTGTTGGCCAATATCTACAGTCGGTTACGCAGCGCATGGCCCTCGGCGCCGAGGTGGCCTATCAGTATGGCCCCAATGTGCCCGGTCGCCAGATTGCGATTGTCTCCGCCCTGGGCCGCTATTCAAATGGCGACTCCATTTGGTCCGGCACCCTCGGTCCAAGCGGTCTGCACTTGTGCTACTATCAGAAGGCCAGCGAGCAGCTGCAAATTGGCGTCGAGGTGGAAACAAGTCTTCGCATGCAGGAGTCCGTTGCGACCATAGCCTATCAAATTGATTTGCCCAAGGCGGATTTGGTGTTCAGAGGTTAGACATTTCAAATCCCATAGCTGCCATATCAAAAACTATTCTCACTGACGAACTGACGCGCTCTAGAAGCTAGACAAGATTTACTGTAGTTACGTGTTTCTTGCACAATTCACGCGCAATAGCGGAAAATTAGCGGAAACACTTTTTATAAGAGTATTTGCTAGACCTTCAATCATTTTCAAAGATCTACGCTCGAGATGTGTTTCACACTTTTCACAAATTCCACGCCTCTTGGCGCAAAAGTGTAAAAAAAAAGTTTTTCATTTTTAGCTTTAAGTTCACTTTTTGTTTTTTGTTTTCCATTGATATTCCAATTCGTTTTCCTTGCTCTAGCTAGACATTTATTTACTTTTCGTACAGTTTCTGTGAGCCAAACTTTCAATTCACGCCAACTGGCGGAAAATGCGCGAAAACTTGTTGCATGCAAATTAAGTTCGTGTCTGAAGAACTTTTCGGTTTTCCGGCTCTCTTAAGCAAACTTGACAAATGCAAATGCTTTATATATATATATATAAGCTAGATCTTATTAATATCGGAGTACTATATCGAATAATTGATTCTATGGAAAGAATCGCTTGTAGAATAAGTTTTTATAAGGCAAACCTTGAGGTTTGTTTACAAAGTGTGTGCGTCAAACTGTGCAATTGCGAGCTTCACACTTTGCAAAAAGTATTTTGGACTTTGGCGTGTTTTTCGCAGAGAAATTCTTTTGACACAGAACGACATTAAATGAAAGTGAAGTGAAACAGACTCCAACATTTGGGTATTAGGAGAAGAAGACATGGCTAAGTTTGATTTTTGTTAAATTTGATTTATATGCACACATTATAATATATTCAATTTGTTGCAGGCTCCATCGACTCAAATTGGCATATTTCGGGCGTGCTGGAAAAGCGCCTGCAGCCGCTGCCCTTCTCCTTTGCGCTGAGCGGACGCATGAATCATGTGAAGAATAACTTTAAGCTTGGCTGCGGACTGATGATTGGTTAAGCCTCAACACAACAACAACACAACACAACAACCACAACAACAACAACAACAACAACAAGAATAGCAACAACAGCACCAGCAACAAAATCTACAATAACAACAACAGCAACAAGAAACAGTAACAGAATCAGAGAAATTCAGATATGCAGATCGTAGACATGGAATTATCAACAAAATCATTATTGTAGTCGTTTATCACACACACACACATACACCTCATACACACACACACACACACACACACAACTGCAGCAAGCATAGCATGTATATATATATATATATATATATATATATATGCATTTGTTCAATTTGTTTTTATTCCGAAAAGGTTTTTGATAATTTGACACTCAAAACTGAAATTGCAATCGTCAAAAAAAAAATTTGTGCTAAATTCCAAAAAGAAAACAACAAAACAACAAATGCCACAACAATTCAACAACCAACAACCAACAACAACAACGACAATGAACAACAACAACAACTGGCAGCAGGCAATAATAGAAACAAAAAATCAGCAAGTAAATATTCCTTTGTACACAAAAAGCGGGGAGCATAAGCTGCAAAACAAGCACGTTGTTAAATGTAAAATACACAATCAGCTGTATTTGGTATTAGTTTACACAATAATAATATAATAATAAATAATAAAAAAAAAAAAACAAAATAATAGCAACAACTATGATAATAAACCAAACACAAGGAAAATTAGTCAAAGCTGAGCCAATATTTTGTTGAAGTCACATTTCAAATGCTGTCTGTACATATATCTATCCATCTATCTATATATATATATATATATATATATATATACATATATCATAATATATCATGTGTATCATCTGAACCAGATTGCCTGCCCTGCCCCCTCCACACACATACACACACACACACACACATACGCACACACACGCTCACGCAGAGAATTCCAAATATCACAAATGCCAGTTATCATTTTGTACACCTAAGTTGTTTTCCTAATTAGCCATATTTTGAGCGCATTTCGTGTTGAGACATTTTTTTCCCAGTGCAGCAGCGCTCAAGCAATGAGTAGAGCTACCAACGAGTAGCTTTTAATTTCAGCGAGTAAATTGAAATTGTTTTAAAAGCGCACTTTAAAAATATATATCTATTTAAAAGCAAAATCAAAATAAAACCCAAACTGCTTTAAGTTTATAATTTGTCAAGTAACGAGTAAAGCTTACAATAAGCTGACCTGCCAGCACTTAGTCACTCGCTGGAAAAAATGTGTTAGAAATATGCTTAAAGATATGTTGAAACTTATTTAAAAAAAAAAAAAACCCAAAAGCTTTAAGTATATATTTTTTAAAGTAACGAGTAAAGCTTCCAAGGAGCAGCTCTGCACATGCTAAAAACTACTCGCTCGAAAAATGTGTTAAAAATGAGCTAACAAATATGTTGAAACTTTTTTTAATAATAAATTAAAACTAACACCCAAACAGCCTTAAGTTTATAAAAATGTTAATTAACGAGTAGCTCTGCACACACTTGAAGCCACTCGCTGGAAAATAATGTCAAAAATGGGCGAACATTTTGAAAAATATTAAAAAAAAAAAAAAACAATCTTATAATAAAAACCCCAGCTGCTTTAAGTTTAATGTTTATAAAGTAACGAGAAAAGCTTCCAAGCAGCAGCTCTGCAAACGCCTAAAACTATTCGCTGGAAAAAATGTGTTAACATTTTTAAAAAAGATATGTTAAAACCTATTTTAAAAACAAATGAAAACAAAAACCCCATAAACAAAACAGCTTTAAGTTAATAAAAATGTAAAGTAACGAGTAAAGTCTTCAACGAGTAGCTGTGCAAACACTTGAGGCCACTCGCTGGAAAAGAAAACGTGTTGAAAAAGGGGCTAAAAAATATTTTGAAAAATATTTCAAAATAAAAGTAAAACACGCTGCTTTAAGTTTATAATTTATATAAATACAAATTAGTTTCTAGTTGCGGCTGACAGGCAAATTTCGTTGAAAATATGTACAATTATTTAATTGTTTTCTTGCAGACGTCACACAAAAAGCTGTGCGAAAACCAAACAACTAAAAGAAAACACAACAAATAAAAAAGAAAAAGAAAAAACAAAAATTAATATTTATTAGTAAATATATAATTAAATGTAAATGTACATAGATTTACCTACCTACCTCTCTCTCGCTCGCTCGCTTTCTCTCTCTCTCTCTCTGTTGCTTTCGCACACTGCTTTGCAGTGCTGCTCAAACTGCAGACAGTCAAGCCAAACTGTAAATTTGTAAACTTGGTGCATATTGCTATCTCCCTTGCGCACGCTGCTCAAACTGTAATGCCATGAGCCAATTACAGTGCTGTCCAAACTGCAGCCAAATTGAAAATTTAACGTAAAAGAGCAATTGTATTTACTTGAAAATTCAAATTCACTTTTATTTATCTATTTTTTTTTTTTGTCTTATGTGCAGCTCAAATTGTCATTGAGTAAAAAATCAAAAGAGCAAACATAAAATGAGAAAACAATTAAAATAATTTTTAAACATGCTCGTGCGTTGGTGTAACATAATTTTAACATTAATTATTATCTTATTATTATACTGCAGCTGGAGTTAGCTTATGTGATGAAGGTGCAAACTTCCCACGGTTCAACAGCTGTAATAGGCTCAAATTAACAGAGTGTTAAATTGTGAGTGACTTAAAATAGGCAAACGATCGAAATTCGAGTGAAAACGATGCGCCACATTGCTCAGCATACACACACACATACGCGAGTAAGCCAGAGATAAGCAGTCAGCTGTTCGTGTGTGTGTTCGCTGTGATTTATCTGCTTACGCTCACGCGCTCACGTTTGTTTGCGGTGCTGATCGCTGATTGGCCCACTCCAACTGCGAGCGCTCTTTTTTGTGAGCGCCGCTTCAATGGATCTGCGCAACTTTACTTTGAGTCAGTGTGGTCCCATAAGTCGACAGGGCATGCTGTTGTGTTACGTGCGCTGGTCTACATATCAAGCCTGTTATTATTTTGTGGATTTGATGCTTAAGAAGATAAGGCCCTAGCACGCAAATACACATATACATACACACACATATTTGGCGATTCTCTACATATATATGGTGAGTGCTGTTTGCAATTGATTTATACATACATACATATATACTTATTCGGACATGTACGGTTCGCAAGTACAAACAAACACATTGATTGCCATTAAAAAGAAAAGTCATATTCTGGAGTTTGACGAAAATGGAATCCAAAATTTCAGACGTTATACGAAATCGATATAATGTGAGTTAAAGTTAACCACAAAATATTTTTCTTCTAGGCAAAAAATTCGAGCGATGCGTAAGAAGATAAGAAGTTAATGCAAATATGCACATACACACATACACATATACATACATACGTATTTGGCGATTCTCTACATATGTATGTATGCATGTTGGGTGAGTGTTGCTTGCAATTGATTTACACATACATACATATATACTTATTCGCACATTTACGGCTCGCATGTATTAATTGCCAATAAAAAAAACATATTTATATATAAAGAAGAAGATATAAAGAAGCAAAAAATATGTTTCTTTTTGGCAACTAATTCGTGAGAGCGCGATGCAAAGAAAGATAAGAAGTTAATGCAAATATGCACATACACACATATACATGCATACACATTTGGCGATTCTCTCTCTCTGTCTACATGTGTGTGTGTGTGTGTGTGTGTGGTCTCTACTCATGCTTGTGCATTATTGCTTATGCCGTTAGCTTTCCTTTTGCTTTCGAGTTGCTGTGCGTCGACTTTTGTTCACGTGATTTTGTTTTAGTTAAACGCGTTTTACAAAAACTATAAGCGAAAATTCTAAAGTAAACGCCATTCGTAAATCTAATGATATATGTTTTTGGACTTGTAGAAGTTGCAAGTTTTAATAGCCATAAAATTTGAGAAAAATGGCATCAAATTCTGGACAAGTCCATCGATTTAATGGACTTTCAGACATTATGCGAAAGCGATATTATGTGAGTCAAAACTTAGCAACAAATATGTTTCTTCTTCGCAACAAATTCGTGAGAGCGTGATGCATAAGAAGATAAGAAGATAATGCACAGACATGCACATATACATATACATACATATTTGGCGATTCTCTCGCTGCATGCATGCATGCATGTGTGTGTGTGTGTGTGTGTGTGTGTTCTCGCAATTGATATCTACTCATGCTTGTGCATTATTGCTTATGCCGTTAGCTTCCCTTTTGAGTAAAGCTGTTTAACGAAAATTATAAGTTAAAAATTCGCAAATGTGTTATTAATGGACATTAAAACAAAATCATATTCGAAAGTTTGACAAAAATGGAATCCAAATTTAATGAAGTCCATCGATTTTATAGGCTCGCTCAAATGTTAAAGTATTCATTATACCCTGGCGAAGGGTATTATGAGTTTGTCGTGAATTGTGTAACGCAGAGAAGGAGACATCTCCGAGCCCATAAAGTATACATATATATTCTTGATCAGTATCAACAGCCGAGTCGATATAAACATGTTCGTCTGTCTGTTTCTATGCGAACTAGTCTCTCAGCTGGATCGGTCCACTATATCATATCTTAACCCTAGCTGGCATTAACTATAATATTTTCCCTGTGCTGCAAGGGTATTAACTCTTCGGCGTGCCGAAAATAGCCCTGCTTTCTCGTTTTGCTCTAATTTTCTCCCTACTTCGCAACAGTTTCGTGGGAGCGCAATCAATAAGAAGAAGATGCACAAGCATACATACATATATTTGGCGATTCTCTCTGCATACATACATATGTTTGGGTGTGTGTTCTGGCTTACGGTTGCTTGCTCAGTTTGCTGTGCGCCCAGGCTTCGGGCAGCCTTCAGCTTTGATAAAGTTACCTCATTTAAAGACTTATGCGAACCACGAAAAGGTATGTACTTCCGAATTCGGACTCAATTTAAACGATATTAAAAGCTAACAGAATACTAATTTATTTTTATTTCAATTTTACAGCTAAATCTGCCATGGACAGAAAAACATTCTGTTAAGCTTGGAACCTGAATGATCTTGGTTATTTCATGCCATGGATATATCTTAAACAAAATCGTATTTAAATTTTGTAGAATTCTGTCGATTTTTGAGTCTTACGAATCCTTAAAGTTAACATATGTCGCTCCCCAAGTCGTAAGTAATTAATCCCATTTATTATCGTTTACAAAAACTAATTTATTTTCATTTTATGCCATTTCAGCCAACTGTGCCACGCCCTTGGACAACATTTAATCAGCAAATGATCGCTATGCATGGTGCCTAGTTGATCTATATATCCTTGGTTATTCCATATCATGGATATAGTCCTAGCGAACCTAAAGGACAACTGTCCCGGCCCCTAGATGGTTTCCAGTTGACTAGCATATCCTTGGTTCTATAGCATACCATCGATATAGTCCTTGCGAACCTACAGGATCAGATCCCTGCAAAATGCGCATTGAAATGATCCAAAAACATGTATGCTTTTTCTTACAGGAGCCCTTTTCCATGAGCTGCAGCTGCAGCTGTTGTTTAGCAGCCGGCTTACAGCACTCTTTTAACAGCAACTGCTATTTAACAGCACTCATTTTGAGTGAGTTACATTTTTGCCCCTTAATGCTATGCAATGAATATTTTTATTCGAAGCACTCAGCGACCTTCTGGGCATTTCTGTTCGCCTGGTATTTGAGTGGAATTTTAGTGCAAATTTGGCACCCAGCCGGCGACGGGGGCGCCCCGTGCGGGTATGCAATGAATTTTTTCGGCAGATAAAAATATTCTGTATCGACCTGCTGGGCATTTATGTTCGCCTGGTATTTTGGCAGATTTTAAGAAAAATCTCGGCAGCCCAACCGGCGCCCCCGGGGGTATGCAATGGATTTTTGAATTTTTAAATAAAAAAACAGGCGAATCCATTTTTATTTAAAATTATTGTTTTATTTGGGTTTCATTTACAAAATTGTTGTTTTTTAGCATATTTTCTTAATTATTTCTCTTAAAATTATACAAATCGAGCACAAATTACAATTTTAGCTTATTTAAACTTTAAAATAGCGATATCTGGCTCAATTTTGGTCGGATCCTGGCAAAATGTGCTTTGTCACACGTGGAGGTCCTTAGAGCTTCGTTTAGTCCTTAATTTGGCAGCCTGAAATGATAAAAACACATTTAAATTCAACATAAAGAAAGTAATATGAAAACGGAAAATAGGCCATAACTCGGGCATGTCCTTGCAGATTTTCAAAGGACATGGTGCGTTAGGATCGCATAGACCCCCTGCATCGAACTGCATCATAAAAATATGGGGTCATCTAAGAATCATATGACTCCAAATTGGACTTGTAAAATTTTTGTTCCGGCGCGCACGGCAAATGGCCCGAAAACACAAATCCTTGCATATCTGCGAAACTACAAGGACGATCTTTATGAAATTTGGCCAGTTGATAGTGCTGGTCAATACAATTATTTTGACATATGACTCGCCAGGATACGCAAGGATATGCTTGAGTTATGGCCTATTTTCTTTAAACAAAATTGTCCTTAAAACTTTTTTGTCTGAAGGACCTTCGTCCTTTGGGTTGTTATTTCTTCAATGGGAGACCGAGAACTATCTGCTGGCCAAAGGACATCGCGCTAGTCCTTCAAATGGCCAAGTTAGCCCGCAATTTTTCGATTTTGGCGAATTTTGCGACCTAACCCCTAGGAAAAATTTCGATGAAATTTTTGGTCGAATCCTGGGAATCCTTGAATGCCAATCGATAGATCTGGTCGCCACGAGTTTATTAAGGCATATCCTGGCGATATCCTTCAGGATTTGGCCGAGTTATGGCTAATTGAAAAATGTCCTTTTTAGAAAATTAACCATAAATCGGCAAGGGCAAGGACGATTTTGTTGTCCTTTGGACAGTTTATGGTCCTTGTTAATGCGGTTTGTTTGACACAGGACTTGCCAGGATCCGCAAGGATACGTTCAAGTTATGGCTTTGTCAATTTACGCCCAAATTATACTCATATCTTGGCTGTCTAAAGGACTTTCGTCCTTTTCATTATATATTCTGAACTGGCAGAATGAGGACTTATGGTTGGCCAATGGACATCATGATCGGCAAGGATGCGGCCGATCTACAGCCGTTTATTTCTGCCGATAATAATCCCTTTTACTCAGCTCCTTGAAGGATTTTCGTCCTTTTTATTGCACATTCTAAGTTGACAGGAACAGGATTCTCGAGCCGTCGACGATTTTGCGAAAAAAAATGGTCGATTTGAATATGCGGCTGGAAAGAAATTCGGAAAAATATTGTAAATTATGGTCTAAATAAATAATACCAGAAAATAGAACGCCAGCAAGTGCTGCTCAAACTGTAAACCAATTGCTTTGCAAATAGACGTTAGCAAATGTTGCATACTTCATTGCTGTTACCCCCCCCCCCCCCCCCCCCCCTCGCAGCCATGTTGGCAGCACACTCTTCACGCTGCTCAAACTGTCCAATTCTGTCAGCAGCAGACATCAGTGCTGCTCAAACCGTGAGGCAAGACGTTTGCTTGTGAATACAGGCGTGTGTGTGTGTGTGTGTGTGTGTGTGCGCGCGTGCATATGCATACGCATGTGTGTGTGTGTGCGCGCAAGCACATATGCAAAAACGTTTTTAGACAAGATAATAAACATTTTAGTGCATATTTATGTCGCCAGATGTCGCTTACAGCATTGGACAGCTACAGAAAGTACATACATACATATGTATGTATATACATAACAAAAAGCTGGCATCCTTCCTGCTGGCCGCTGAGCTTTATCAGAAACAATTTTTGCGCTAGTCGAAAAGCAAACAATAACAATAACAACTGCAACAGCAGCAGCAACAACAACAACAACAACAACAACGACAATGAGTGGCAACAAACTTTGTTCAATCAGCTAGAGAAAAACGTTGTCGTTGGCCCCGCCAAATATTGTTTAGATAAGAAAATGTTGTTCGCACACACACACACACACACACACACACACGCGCGCACACACATGCACGTTTCGAAATGTGCATGTGCACAGCTGGGAGTGCGAGCGAGATGGCGCACATACGAGCTGCCGTTTGTGCTTTGCTGTTTGCATTGCCAACCAAACCCCCTTCCCCTTCATCCATACACCCTCAACCCGTGGGCACGTCTGTCAATGGGTTTTGCCATTTTCCTTTGCGCTGCTGTGTTATTCTTTTGCTTTTGCATTTTTGGCCAAATGCAATTTGAACTTTGCCAAAAAGAAAAAAGAAAGAAAGGAACGAAAAAGCAAAATAAGAAACGGCCGCCCAGCCCACTTGCATATTATGCAACTTAAAGCGGCTTCAAGGGCCGCAAATGGGGCGTTGTGGAGTGGGGCGTGGGGGCGTGGGGGCGTGGCAGTTGTGTAGCTGCTGCTTAAATTGAATTGCACGCGCGAGGCTCATGTCCACTGAAGAGGCGATAAGACAAAGGCAAGAAAACTCATTAACATATAAAGTAGCCGCTAAAATCTCAGCAAGTGCTGCTTGTAATGCGGCTAATTACAAAATGGCGTCTGCAGCAGCAGCCGTCAAGAGCAGCGGCAAGTTAGCTTTAAAATCATTTCCTAAAGCGTTGCCAGATAGGTCATTAGTACGGCGTAACGGATTATATTATTATGGCTTGCGGCCGTGGCACAGAGTTGCCAGAGTTGCTAAATAACTGTTAAACTATTCGGCAAGTTTTGCCCAACGAGCCAGAAATTAAATTGAAAGGCAGCTTTAAACCAGCTAAGGCGAGGTTTTCTAACGGGCCACAAGCCAGAATTTCAAGTCCAAGGTGGCAACACTGCCCAGCAACGGTAAGGCTAACGCTAAGCTGTCAAGCACAGCGGGCGGCAAGGCGAATATTTTGATGAACTAGTGAACGCTTTTAACTAATTAATGAAGAGCTGTTGTCATGATAAATATCACAAAACATGCACAAGAACATAAATCAAATCCCATAACACAAGGCATTGCAGTGACGCAGGCAGCGGCAGCGGCAGCGACAGCGACAGAGACGCCGGCAGCGGCAGTCAGTTGCAGCTGCTGTTAAGATCATAATCAGCAAGAACAACAACAACAACAACAGCAACAGCAGCAGCAGCAACAATAACAGCTGTCAAGATGTCAAGAATGTTAAGTGTCTGCAGAATGTGGCAACGCCGTAAGCTGCTGACAGGTGGACAAATGTCAGAGAGCGACAAGCAGGAGGAGAGCAAAGCGACTGCGCAAATAACTAAAAAGTTTGACAAGCGCAAATTGCATTAAAACCAAACCAAAGCAGACATTTGCATAAAAACAAGCAAACGTCAATTATGTTCGTTTGCCCCAATGCATATTCACACACCTGACACGTGAGTGAGTGCAGCGAGCGGCCATCTTGTGCGCGGCGCTCTCTGTGAAATGTTAAGTAACATTAATTGGCCGAGCAGCTAATTGGCTGGCGTGCTTGAGCCGTTTGCGATTTACCGCTAGCAGCATTTGCGCGCATTTGCAGTGCTTTATGCCCGTTCGCTGATTGGCCAATTAAAAGCGAGCGCTTAATACAAATTACAAAATTAATACGCTTAAAGCGGCAATGGCACACACTAAGCTCCGCCACTCCCCTCTCTCCCTCTCTCTCCTTATCTAACAGCGCTGTCTAAAAACAACAACAACAACAACAACAAGAGCTATGCAATTGTGTTTGGCAGTAAGGGCGTTAGTCTGTGTGCAGATGTGTGTGTGTGTGTGTGTGTGTGTGTGTGTAAGTTCGCGCTGCTGTTGTATGCTTGGCATATTTACGCCAACTTTAGTTATTTGAATTACGTGACTTCAGCAACAGTTCTATGACTGAGTTAAACAGCGCCGAGACTGACACACACACACACACACACACACACACACACACACACACACACACACACACTGGCGCTGGCCCTGGCTTAAACTTTGTGCAATTTTTTGAGCACACACTCGCACACACTCGCATGCGTATTACTTACGTACATACTTATAAATACTTACTTACTATCTGTCTGTTGATTACACATGCACGTAAAAAAAATATTGAAGCAGCAGCAAAGGCGCCCGGCAAAGGCAAACCAAATGCAGCCACGGCACGAAGCCAGCCAGATACACGGCAGAACCCATTCCACCCACCACCCGCAGCACTCACACACCTTACCTACATATCAAATGAAGAAAAAAGGATATGAGTGCATACACCATGAATACCCTGAACCCATTCGGCAGACCATAACCACATTC